TCCACCCCTATACAAAATATTAAGTGACTTGATCAAGATATCAAAAATAACTGTTAAATTTAAATTCATTACAAATTTTATTATCGAGAACGTTCAAAAATCTCCACAAAAGTTTAATTTTTTAACATATTTTGAGAATGATCAAAAGAACATACAACTTAAAACAGAAAATGATTGTATGTATTTATACTCTTTAGAATCGTTTATAGATTTTATACATTTAATTCTAAACTTTTATTTATAATAATTATAGCTGATCAAATTCATCAAATAGTTAACAATGAACTAAATGAATTACTCTGCGAATTACTTAAGGTTTTTTTCGATTCGACAAATCGCGGAAATGTATTTTCACAAATTTCCAAAGTTATAATAAAAATTATTGAAGACAATAACCAGACTACAAAAAATATATTTGCTTATCTTAAAAAATATCAGGATCTCAATCCAGACTTACGATGCCTTCTCAGTTTTTTTTATCTTAAGGGAATTGGTATTGAAACAAATACAAACGCAGCATTTAAGTTGTTTGAAAAGGTAGCGCATGGAAATAATGCAATAGGGAAATTTTACCTTGGAGAATGTTTTATGTGTGGCCATGGAACTAAGAAAGATTTAAAAAAAGCTATAGAATGGCACCAAAAAGCAAGTGGAGAATGTGCAAGGTCTATTAACGTTTTAGGCATTTGTTATATGAATGGAAATTGTGTCAAAAAAAATAAAGAAAAAGCATTTGACTATTTCAAAGAATCGTACCAAATGGGATGTATTTCTGCTTGTAATAGTTTAGGAAATTGTTATGAACTTGGAATAATTGTAGAAAAAAATGAAAAAAAGGCATTTGAATATTATAAAAAAACTGCCGATTATGATATTCCACTTGGACAATGTAGTCTTGCAAGATGTTACAAGGAAGGAATAGGAGTAAAAAAAGATTTAGAATTGGCGAAGTATTGGTATCAAATGGCAGCAGATAATGGACATAAAGATGCTCTAAACCAATTGAATAATTTTTCTCAAGGACAAAAAATCATCAATTTTTTAAGGTAATCAAATTTATTGCTTCAAAATTAAAATAAATTTTATAAAATTTAACATGTCTAAAGTAATATTAAATTTAGGCAAAAGAAAGTATGAGAATAACACTATTATAAATTACATAGAAACGGAATATATGTATAATTTAATTAGAATAAATTGATGTAAAATATTTCTTACTAAACTATTACAATGTATACTATAAAGTTGTATAATAAAAAATTATCAGTTATATAGTTGTATTACTAATATTATACTTTTCCAATTACACATAACTGTTGCGGCATCTCTTAATTCACACCACTGGTCAAAAAAATTATATTTTTACTAGGAAATATATTGTGAAATATAGTACAGGGGTGGTAGTCCCATCCCAGATCCGATTCTTTCACACGTGACCAAAAACAGAATAGAGAGAGAAATCAAAGCTCTGAATAGCAAAACGGGTGGCAATCCCAGAATGAAAAATAGAATACTCAAAAACTTAAATGTATATACTTAAGTGATAAATGTAAATAATATAGATACCTCTAATTGTAACATAAGAACCTAAATAAATTACACCCCCCGGCGTCTCTCAATAAGAGGGTTCTAAAAAAAAAAAAAAAAAAAACAAATATATATATATATAGTACAAATCTTTACTTAATTACTGGGTAATAGACAATATTTAAATATATTGTATACCACTTTTCTACCAGTGACTTATTAATTGATGCAAGTCATCACTGAATGATGATGATGGCTTAAATTGAAAACCTTGAGAAATGATTAAAGTTTGACTCCAACATATGGATTTTTCCTAAAATTAAATATAAAATAATAATATATCCCTGGACCCTGCTGTTTTTACCCTACGAAAAGAAGAAAGGTATTGGTTAGAAACCGACTAAGGCTATTCAAAATTAATTGGAGTTATATTGAAATTTCACGAGGTGTATGGTTATATGTAGTGATGGGCAAATCACGGTTTTTCCAAATAACTCGCGCGAGATAGAGATTACCTTGAGGGTTTCTTAAAATTTTGTTAATGCGGGCCGGCTAGCCTGAATTAAAGAACATATTAAAAATCATATGCATTTTGCGCATGTGATCCTACATGGATCCTGTGCGTGCCATTACTAGTGATGGGCAAATCGCGGTTTTCCCAAATCTCCTGCGCGGATCCTGCGTGTGCCTATTACTAGTGATGGGCAAATCGCGGTTTTCCCAAATATCTCTCTTGGATCCTGTGTGTGCCCATTACTAGTGATAGGCAAATCGCAGGTTTCCCAAATCTCCTACGTGGGATGTAGCTTACACGCATGATACGCAAGTAGAGATTACTTTGTGGATTTCATAAAATTGTGTTAATGCAGGCTAACTGGCTGAATTAGGGAACATATTAAAAATTACGCGCATTTTGCGTGCGTAATCCGTGCGTGATCCCTCATGCATTCTGCGCATGCCTATCACTAGTTATATGTAGGGATAGGCAAATCAAAGATTTTTTGAAAATACTGCGCAGGCTGTGCAGCCTGCATGGTGTAAAGGTCAAAAATACCCCACTCTGAATGTACTACCTTCTGATATAGTACCAAGTCTGATATGGCCAATATGTACGATTCTTGCGATCTTGAAAATTGTATTGATCATTTTTATCCTTTAGATAAAAAATGATCCAGAGGATCGATGTTATCTTTTAGATAAAAATGATCCGGAGGATCGATTTCATCCTTCCAATAGAAAGGATCCAAATTATCTTTTTTATATTTTTTATCTTTATTATTTTTCATCTGTAAATTTGTCTATAAAAGCAACACAAGTTGCCCTTAAATAAAGATAACTTTCATAAGTTCAAAACTGCAACTTTGTTAAGTTCAATAACTTTATTGTTCCTAACTTTGATAAGTTAGTTGTTGATAAGTTAAATACTTCGAAATTCGAGTAGAAGTATTGTGATCTTGTTTCCTCATTTGTTAAAATATTTATTCATTGTTAAAACCTCGTGTTGATTTGAATTGATCAGTTTAAGGCTAACAATAAGTTAATCACCTCTTATATCATTTTATTGATAAATTTAAATCCTATTGTTAGAATTAATAACCAATCATAAAAGAAGACCAGATCACATGTCATATAATCTCTCACAAAAGTATAAAGAACCTAAAAGACCAAAACTGAAACTACTGGAATCAAAACTCAAGAACAAGATAATACTCACCTTAAGAAAATCCACATTGCAATCCTAAAACTCAGACCAAATTCTCTATGATCTCTTTTAGCCTGCCAACTTAGAGTTGATTGTTGAATTTGTAGTGTTTGTTAGTTGAGTTGTTGAGCTATGAACCTAGGTATGACTAAAAATCTCTAGTCTAGTTCTGTCTCAGAACCAGTTTACACCTTCTTAATAGGCCTGCGCAGCCTTCACGAGCTTACATTATAGCTAATGCAGGCCAAAATTTCTAAATTTCAAAGGTCTACAGTATATTCTGGCCTTCTGGTATATTCTACTTGCGCAGCAGCCTATCTCTAGTTATATGGCAATTGGGATAGTCTTGTATTTGATTTGATTATGCATGGAAATATGAATGAATGAATGAATGTTCACATCCTATATCTTTTGGTTTTGTAAATTAAAATCCTATAATGTATATAAAATACTACAAGGTCTCATCAATCTCTGTGCTAGAAAAGAATCACTCCACACGATACTATTTTTTTTTTTTGAGAACTATGCTAGCAGTTAATTTAGACCAGGTGAGTTTTATTAAGAAATTAACAGAATACATAATAGAGAAGTGAGTATTTGACTAAGTTGGCCAGAGCGGTAAAGACTACTTTAGTGTTTTAGATAAAATTACTATATGATACTGACTACAGTACCCTCTTGCTATAATACTCCTGATATAAAGGACCTGAGTACAATTCATGGGTTTGCATTTGTAATTATAGAATAATACCTGAGTATAATATAAATTTTACTTATTATAATACCCTTCATAAAAAAAGACTCAGATATAATTTATAATTTATAATTTATTTACTTGAACTAGTATCGTAATATATTTTTACTTTAAGATTTATTATAATCGTTTAACCATTTATTTATATAACTAAAAAAAAATTTAGTAATCATAATACATAAAACTAAAATATGATAATAAACTTAGCAAAGTATGAGTAAAGCTTAAAGACTTTTCTATTAGAATTGATATACTTTATTAAATTGCATTTAAATTACTAGTAATATATGCATTAAAGTCATAGCTAAAATATTACAGTATCAGGATCTGGCGATCTTAGTGTAATGGTTAAGTTGTCAGACTATCATGCAAAAGATCTGGGGTTCAAATCCTACTATCGATGAATTTGAATAATTATCTGAATCTTTGTATCCAACTTATGGTAAATCCTGTCTGTTTCTGGGGTTGTAACCCTGTAAATTAAGTTGTACCAAGTTACTTGAATATTAGAAGTGTAGTATAATATTATATAAAGAAATCTTGATAGGATCCATAGACAGGGGACCTGCATGGTAGAAACCCTGAGTAAGTGAAGTAGTACAGCTTTTGACAGTTAAGCCAGTTAATATTTGATCTGGCAAAAAACACTGCTGAGAAAGGCATGAATTAGGATAGGTGCGAGTAAGTCTGGTCTATAGTAAAGATCAGTAATACCAACCTGGCTTAGTGGCTAATTGGATTTGGGAGGATCTGTCTCATGAAACATCATAAGAGAGAGAATACAGACACTAGTGAAGAGCTATAGTAGGAACTAGAGTTGTATGAACATCTACAAAGGTCTAAGCTAGGTAAATCTATGAAATGGGTATAGACTACTCTAGTAAGTATGCTTCCGAGGTTAACTGGAGCTCTGCGGCTCACAATATGTCAGGTATATGCATCCCGAGAGGACCTAAGCTGTGCAGTAAATAGATCCACAGGTGAGCCAGCTGGCTTAAGTGGTCAGCTATAGTGGTGATATTAGTTTGGGATGGAGGGAAGAGTTAATGATTAGAGTGTTTAAATAGGTAACTCACAGGTGAGTTGCAGATATAGCAGTATAGTGTAGAACCAACAGATGGTCGATCGTCTGTATAGCGGACTACTTAAATTAGATAATGACTAAAGTTATACATGTGGCTTGTTGTACACTCATCATGTAACTATAAAATCTTAGGAAATTATCTATGTAATAGTTCCGTAATAACAAACTAATAAAATCTAATCAGCAAAGGAAGCTATCTTAATAAAATAAAATAAAATATTACAGTATCTATATTGCTGATTTTATCTAGCAATTTAAAACTAGATATATAAAAAGTTTTAATAAATTAATATAAAATAGAACATATCGATATTAGATATTAATAAAATTAATAAAATTAATAAAATTACTTACTTAAACTCATTCATTAATATAGTTAGTTTCTCTTACATTGTAATAACTATCCTCATCATCACTAATAAAATAACTACTATTTTTACTAGTATAATTATCTTCATTTTCACTAATATAGTTATATTCATCCACTATAATATCCATCAATCAATCAATCAACTCTTCCCGCAGATCATTTGACTATTTCCGGAGCAAAACAAAAAGCAGGAAAAAGTCAAAAACAAGACTAAGAAACAACAATAAAGTTACTAATTAAAAAGAAAGAAGACAAAAAGTTTCAGATAATACAAGAAGAAGAAAGGAAAATAATAACTTTCCAAAGAATAATAGAAGAATAAAAGAATTTTAAAAGAAATTCGGAAGAATTTTTTAGGAAAATTGGGAATTGTTGTTACCCTGTATTGCAGATCAATCAGTGTAATACAACGCATAAACAGATAAGTAAACAAACAAACGCGTGACTATTACTAATAGAATATGACACATGACCAAAAATAGAATAGAACTATATAAGACCAAAACTAGAAATTTCATAGGCAAATAAGAAATTTCATAGGGAATTTATAGAAAAAGACAAAGTCACTATGACAAAAGTTAAACTTAGAAGATGTGGAACAAAAATAGATCAA